CGGCGTAAAAGGAATTCTCATACACTGCTGGCAGGTAAGCTGGCAAAACCACTTTGAAAAACAATATGTAGTCTCCTTAAAAAATTAAGCACAGATCTGCCATATGATCCAGCAATACCACTCCTAGGGATATATCCAAAGGAATGTGACTGAAGTTATTACAAAAGCACCTGCACACCCTGTTTATTGCAGCACTATTTTCAATAGCTAAGCTATGAAAACAGCCAAGATGATCCACTACCCACGAATAGATCAAGAAAATGTGGTATTTACACACAACGGAATTTTACTCAGTCACAAAGAAGAATGAAATTTTGTCATTTGCAAGTAAATGGATAGAACTGGAGAACATTCATCCTAAGAGAAGTTATCCAGGCTCAGAAGACCAAAAATTGCATGTTCCCCTCATATGCAGATTATAGACCTAAAACAAATGCAGTAATATTATTGGACATGGGTCACACACCAAGGGGAGAAATAGATATACACACATGGGAGAAATTGGGAAAGAAAAGGAAACTGAAAACTTGAATGTGGTTGATGTGCTCACTGCAGAGGAGTGAAAAATAATCTCAAACTCTCAAAGGCCACTAAGTGAAGGGGACCAGGAAGTAGCGAAGAGGTCTGGTAGAGATGAACCAATGTGGGTTTCAATATGCAAGTGTATGGAAGCAATGCTAGGAATCTCTCTGTATAGCTATCTTTATCTCAAACTATCAAAAATGTTATGTCTTTCTATTATTTTGCCTTCAACAAAATACAGAGAGCAAGAGGGTGGAACAGGTTCTGCCTGGAAGCAGGGGAGTGAGGTAGAGGGGGAAGAGGGAGAGGTGGCAAAAACAACATATACACATTTAAGTAAATGTAAAAATGATAAAATAAGAGAAAAAAACGATTCTAAGATTTTTCTCTAAAAAATAGAGAAAAAATAAAAATAAACCTATCATATGATCTTACTATGCCACTTTTGGGGATATACCTGAAGGAAAGCAAGTCAACATACAATTAGAGATGCCTACCCATCCATGTTTATTGCAATACTATTTACAATAGCCAAGCAATGGAAATGAGCTAGATGCCCATCAACCAATGTGTGTATGTATTTACATACATATGTATTTTACAATATTATGTATAATGGTATATTATTCAGTCATAAAGAAGAATAAAATTATGTTGCTTGCAGGAAAATGGATGGAGATAGAGATCATATTAAGCAAAATAAGCCAGTCTCAGAAAGACATATCACACATTTTCCATCGTATGTAAAATCTAGGTCTTAAAAAAGATATGAATATAAAGGAGGGAGTGTTTGTGGGCAGGACCAGCTGGGTGGGGGAGAAAGATATGGTAATATGGGTGACTATGATTGAAGTCCCTTATGTGCATGTATAAAAGTAAAATAATGAAACCCACTGACATTTTTATTTTTTGGAGGTGCACAAATAGACTTTATTCTTTAGAGCTGTTTTAAGTTCACAGTAAAAATTAACGTTTCTTACAGGGAGTTCTCATGCATACCCTGCTCTCACATTGCACAGGTTTCCCTACTGTCAATATTCCCCACCAGAGTGATTCCTTTACTACAGTTGATGAGCTTATACTGACACATCATTACCACTCAAGAGCTGTTTAGGGCTCACTCTTGGCGTGCATTCTATCAGTTTAAAGAAGTGTATCATGACATGTATCCACTGTTATAAAAATACCCTCCCCTAAAGATCCTCTCTGCATTGCTAATTCATCCTTTTCTCCCTGCTAATCCCTAGTAATCACCAATTTTTCTACCGTTTATGTAGTTTCGCCTTTTCTGGAATGTCACATGGTTTTATCCTCTTGAGTGCTACCAGAACTGAAAGAAACCAATGTGATTGGAGTGGAAAAGTAAATTAAAATAATTTCGAGAGATAGGTAGGGGCTGTTTCATGCAAAGCTTTGTACTCCAAGATAAGGACTCCATTGCTATTTGAAGAAAAATGGGAAACTACTGATGAGATCTCACTAAATGAAAAAAATTAAAAGCATACTTTTTGTTCAGAATATAGATTTTTGAGGTGTTACTTGATGGATATGAAAGCTGTCAGGGAGAAATAAGCATAATACACAGGTCTTGGGCCTGCACCAATGCTTCTGAGTGGATAATGGTATCATTACCAAGATCTGAATGACTAGGTATAGACTGAGATTTTTTGCATTGGGGGGCAGTTAGGAAAAACAAGTGACATTTGATATTTTAAGTTTGCTAATTTGAGTTATTTGTGAGATAGTGCATTAATTTTCTATTGCTGCTTTAACAAATAACTTCACCTTGTACCTTAAAACTACACAAATTTATTCTTTCACTTTAACAGTTAGAAATAAATAAATACCTTAGGCATATGTTTAAAGATAGTTTTACTAAATTATATATATGTATATTCAATAATGACATAGTTATGAATTATCTAATTAAATTAAGTATAAACTTTTATATCCAAGAGAATTTATAGATCCATTTTTTCAGAAATAATCCCTTAAATATAAACTTTTATATCCAAGAGAATTTATAGATCCATTTTTCAGAAATAATCCCTTAAATGATCACAATGGGTGGGAAGGGAAGGAGAATAACTTTCTTCCATGTTAGATTTATACTAAGAAGGAAAGTTTAATTTTGAAAGATGAGGCAAAATTACATAGATTCTTCTCAGGTTTTATTCCACAATAAATGTGTTAACATTTAAATATTGTAAAAGTCCTTGTTTTCTACAATTCCCTGAAGAATTTAAAAACACATAACAGAACCAAGTTTTTAACACATTAGAAGTTTCCACATATGACAAAATATTTTACATACTTATCTATGATTGTTCTGAATGAAGAATTTGAGACAAGGATGTGGGGTTAGATAATTCATTTCAAACATTATCCCAGGAAACAAGAGCGAGAGATCAAAGAGAATGCAAAAGAAAGGAAAAAAGCTAATTTCAGGATTTCATACTGAGCCCAGTATCTCTTTGCTCCATGAGAACCAGGGAGATGGACTTCCAGGGACTCCATGAGAAGCATTTGGACTACCTCCCAGGGCTCTGCCTGAAGGCAGGAGGAAAGAGTGTTTGTCTAGTGGCTCCAGTATGGACTTGTTGAAAGGAAGATTGTTCTTAGAACCACTGAGCCTACCCTTCCCAGTTGCAGTGGCACATAAGCCATACTGGCTACCAGAACTCCAGGGGAGGTCCTCAGACAGACATCATGAGGTTGTTGGTAGTGCTCCTGAGGGAGAATGCTGTTGGTGGGAGAATTTGACATCTGCTGCATCTCTGAAGATTCTGGATCTTTTCTTTGTGTGAAACAGTGGAAATTCTCAATGTATAGCCTAGTTCCAAAGTGCCATCTTCTTTTCCATTTTATTCCCCTTAGCCTAGAACTAGGAAGCCTTAAAAGCTATTTGCTTGCATGGTGTGTTATATTCTGCCACTGCATATTCATCTGTAACAGAGTTACAAGAAATAGTCTCACAACAATGTTCAAACAGAAGGCATCTTTGCTTACTGCCTCTGTTTAGAAATAAATTCCCCAACAATTATGCTATTATAACAATTTCTTTGCTTGAAGACTTCTAAGTATATTTGTATCCCTATCACGCTGTGTACATATATATAATCATTCTTAAGTGTTTCAGATATGAAATTTTATACGTGATACATATTAAACCTAACAGAGGTTAGTGCTACATCTTCTAGAGGATCTACAGTACCTCAAGAGCAAGAAGGACAGTGAAAACTTATTTCAATCATTTAGGTCACTGAATGATTGAGTACCCAAAGTTTGTGAACAACTATTTAATGGATAAATAGTGCTTACTATTTAGCTGGAATATTTATCAATTTAGCATGTATAAAACAGGTTACATTTTTTCACTAAAAGTTCACAAATAATTCATTGAATGTGATGACTTGACAAAACTTGTCATTTTTGTATTTTGATTACTAAAGGTATTCAACCTATACTTTTAATATCCATAATTTTTATCTAAGAGATAAAAATATTGTAGTGTGGATAGTCTTCAGTTTTAAGTTGAGACCAAATTAGAACTCTAACTCTACTGTTTACTTGTTTTCTGTCATCAGTAAAAATTTACCTTTTCTAAGACTGGCTTACAGCAACATAATAAAATCTTGGTTAAAGAAAAACAAACAAAAACATTTCAAAATACCTGACAAAGTAGCTCTAATTATATATTTTTATTTGAAAATTTCACTTTTTGAGAACATATGGATTGATAGGCTATAGCTTATTAAGTAAATAGACAGATGCCTGGTGTAGTATGTTGAAGGATAAGAGGCCAGTACAAATCAGCTTGGCCAGCAGTCAGTTTGCAACTAAGAACCTGCCAACTGATGGACACTGGAATGAGTCATCCTAAAGCATTCACTAGCTGACCCACAGAGAACTGTAGACATAGGAGCTGTTCAGAGACACAGAGCCAAGCTAGCCCAAACCAGAAACAGGGGGATCCATTTCTGATCTAGCCATTTGATGACTGATCCATCAAATCATAGGGGATAATAAACATGTACTTTGTCAGAATATCTTCATGAACCTATCAATTATCAATGTGATAATAAACACATAATTTCTGTGCCTTCTCATTCACACTAATGTATAACTAAATTGTATGTCAACATTCATAACAACTAATTCTGTTTTGCCTAAATCAATCATTTATTCAGACAGCCTACTTTCATTTATTTTCTTGTAATTTAAATGAAATTTTAGCAAAAAGACTGCCTAAGAAAAACCTTGACAGTTGTTCTCATGCATGTAGAATAAATCTCAAACTTTATTTGCTATTGAACTCTGAAGCATTTTGTATTAGATGATATGGAAAAACTATAAAACACCAAATAAGGAAAGACTTAAAGAACAGAAACTATAACACCATTACAAATTATGAAAATTGGCTTATGTCTAATTAAATGTGGACTATAAATGGCTCTAACACTAGGTAACATTCTTACCAGTTGCATAGTAATCATAGAGCTGGACAGATGCAGGCTTGATGTTGGACACAGGTGCATCTTGCTCCACAGAGAATGAGAACTGAATTTCCTTTCGAGTAACCTGGGTATAGATTAATACTATTAATCTATATATGTCTCAATTTCTCTCCATTTCAGATATTCACAATTATTTTAACAATGCTTTTTTGGTACTTATTCCCTTAGGAAATTCTTTTATCCTATTATTGCTGTACTGGGGGTACAGCAATAATGTGACATTTACCAAAGTTCTTACACTGTATCATAGTTGAATTCACCCTCTTCATCATTCTCTTTTATTCCTCCCCCCCATTCATGGAATAGTTTCAACAGGTCTCATTTTTTCCTTTTTTACATCAGCACATAATATTTTCACCATGTTCACCCTCTTATACCCTTTCCTTATATCCCTCCTACTCCCACTGGTACCAACCCCCAAACAGGTTTTAAAAACCATAAAAAGATCACACATTGTGCCAGAGGCATTGACACCAATGCACAAACCAAATCATGACAGTGAACTCACGTTGTCCAGATAGAAAAACACATGGGTAGCTTTGATTTCTACTCGTTGTACTTTGCCATCTTGTTGAAGCTAAAAATAAGCAGGAAAAATATGTTGAAAATTCAAGACTAGTAATATATACAGTTAGTTATTCAAGGTGAAATGTTCAAGGTTAATTAGTGATTTTCTTGCTTCTTTATAATGACTTGCAATGGTTCCATACTCCTCAACAATAAATATTAATTTTTGAGAGTCATTTGTTTAAGATTTTGAGAGATCTTCCTATACTTGTTTCTAATTTTCAGTCAATAGAATGATAGAGAAGAATAGAACAACTAAATACCAACTCATCTGCTTTTTTTATCTTTTAAAAATTATTTTTTAACTGAAAATAATAATTTGTATATTGTGGGGCAAAATGTGATATTTTGTTCTATCTACACATGGTAGAAAGATTCAAGCAAGATAATTAGCATATCCACTACCTTACCAGCTTAACTTTACAGTGGTGAGAATACTAAAAATCTATTCCTCCAGCAGTTTAAAAATATGCATTATTATTGATTGTGGTCACTATGTCTTGCCATATGTCTCTAAAACTCATTGCTTTAATCTAACTAAAATATTGCTCTCTCTGAACAACATCTTCCCCCTTTTAAAAATCCCCTACACTTTGGTAAATAACCATTCTCTGTTCTGTATGATCTTTTTTCTTTTCTTTTCTTTTTTATTCTCTTCTTATTTTCTCTTTCTTTCTTTTCTCTTTTTTTTAGGTGTTGCATATAAATGAGATCCTGTGTCTGGCTACTTGGCAGAATGTCCTCTAGGTTCATCCATATTGCTGTGAATAATACAATTTTGTTCTTTTTAGAAAGGCAGTTTATAAGGAAAGGGTCTAGGGTGAATATGGCGGAAATATGTGCTCATGTAGGAAAATGGAAAATGAGACTTGCTGAAATTATTCTGGGAATGAGGGAAGGGAGATAAAGGAGAATAACGGAGGGGGTGAATTTAATTATGATATGTCATAAGAACTTTTATACATGTCACAATGTACTCCCAGTACAACAGTAATATGATAATAAAAATGTAAAAAAAATATTTAAAGGCAGTGTAGCATTCAACTGTGCACAGACAGCACATTTTCTTTACCCATTCATCAGCTGTTGGGTACTTACCTTGCATCCATATTTTGGCTAGTGTGTATAATGCTGAAATGAAAATGGGAGTGCAGACACCATCCTTTCTAAATACTGGCACAATGGCTTTGGATATTTTCTCAGAAGTGGGATTTCTGGATCATATGGTGATTTCACTTTTAGCTTGTAGAGGAAACTCTTTACTATTTTCCGAAGTGGCTTAACACTAATTTACATCCCCTTCAACAGTGTGCATTGACTCCCTTTTCTCCCTCTCCTCAAACTGTGATCCTCCTCATTGCAGCCCTCCAAGTAGTTAGGATTGTAAGCATGAGCCACTGGTGTCTGGCTGCTTTACCTATTTTTTAATTAGGTTATTTGTTTTCTTCCTATGGAGTTCCTTGTGTGTTTTGGATACTACTTCTTTTTTTGTATTTTTTAATTGTTGTGCTGGGGGTACTTTGTGGCATTTACAAAATTTCTTTCAATATATCAACTATATCACACTTGAATTCACCCCCTCCATCATTCCCCTGTAATCCCCCTCCCCACATTCTTGGAACAGTTTAACAGATCTTTTTTCCATTTCATACATGTGTACACAGTATTTGTTCCATATTCACCCTCCTATGCCATTTCTCTACTTCCTCCCCCCTCCCACTAGGGGGTACCAACCCCCCTAAGCAGGACCTGTTCTGCCTTCCTGTTCTCTGATTTTGTAAAAGAAAAAAATGACATTTTCTTATCATATTTAGAGTTTGTAAGTATTTCCTCCATTCTGTTGGCTGTATCTTCACTCTATTGTTTCCTTTGCTATTGAGATATGGTTTAGTTTGATGCAATTACATTTTTCTGTTTTGCTATTGTTCCCTGTCCTTATCCAAGAAATTATTGCCTGGACTATTTGATGTGATGCTTTCCCCTTATACTTTCTTCTAGTAGCTTTACAGTTCTGGGTCTTACGTTTAAGTCTTTTGTCCATGTTGAGTTGACTTTTGTATATATGATGTAAGATAAGAGTTCAATTTCATTGTTCTCTGTGTGGATATTCAGTTTGCCTAGTACAGTTAACTTTCCCCATTGTATATTATTTAGATATTTGTCAAAACTCAAATGGCTGTAAGTACTTAGGTGTATTTTTGACCTTTCTATCCTGGCTTATCTCAGATGTTGGTGTGTCTGTTATTATGCCAGTACCATGCTGTTTTGATTATTATCACTTTAGAATATATTTTGAATTCAGACCATGTGATGCCTCTGGTTTTGATCTTTGAAAGCTCAAGATTGCTATAACCCCACAGGGTCTTGTCTGGTTCAATGTGCATTCTTATATTGTGCTTTCTATTTCAGTTAAGCACACCACTGGAATTTAGTAGGGATTACACTGAATTTGTAGATTAAGATGAATGTATTGATAGTTTAATATTATTTCCTCCAGTTCATGAACATGAGATATATTTTCACTTATTTATGTTTTCTGTAATTTCTTTTATCCATGTTTTATAGCTTCCACAACATTGATTTTTTTGTTAAATTTACACTTATTTTCTTTTTTACTATAACTGAGATTGTTTTTCTTACTTCACTTTTTTTAGTGTGTAAACATGTTACTAAATTTTGTATGTTGATTTTGTAACCTGCAACTTTCCTGAATTTGTTTATCAGGTCCAACAATTGTTTTGGTGAAGTCCTTTCTATATATAAGATCATGTCATCAGAATGCAGAGACAGTTTCACTTCTTATTTTCCTTTGGTGACTTTTATTTCTTTTTTTGTCTAATTACTTACACTGGGCATCTAAAGGATGGTAATCCTTGTCTTATTCCTGATCTGAGGGAAAGCTTTCAACTTGCTGCCACCGAGTGTGATGCTATGGAAGCAATTCTGGGAATCTCTCTGTATAGCTATCCTTATCTCAACTAGCAAAAATGCTTTGTCTTTTTTATTATCTCTTATGTTTCCTCTTCAACAAAACTGGAGAAGAGAACAGAACAGGTTCTGCCTAGAAGCCAGGGTGGTGGAGAGGGGGAGGAGAGGGGCAGGGGGCAGGGGGCAGAGATGGTCCAAACAACATATACATATAGGAATAAATGAATAAACAATAAAAAACCTAAAAACAGGTGTGATGCTAGCTGTGGGTCATCTACCTGTTTTAGTTTTTTCATGATAGATTGTCTCGATGATTTAAGAATAGAAATAAATTTGAGAACTTTTAATACCATATCGTTGAATACACATGTGGTTCAAATTTCATCCCTTAAGAATTCAAAATGTCTTCTTTTTCACCAGCATAAAACCAATGTCCAACACAAAGCATAACATATTGTGGCTATTCTAGAGTTATTTTAATTAATAACATTTTAATTCTTTACCTTCTGGACTGACGATCTATCAGGTCCAAATCCAGAAAGCATCTTCACATCAATGACTGCCATGTTGGAAGAGTTGCGCCTTCCAGAATAACTTTTTTTTAAAGTACAAAATTTATAATTCAGTTAAATTTGATCATTATTGAAGAAAGCAAATACTCTTTATAGTGCTTATCATTGGGATTGGATAACGCATAATCAACTGTAATTAATGGTGTTCCAAAATGAAGAAACATATATTTCAATCCATTCCCAAATGAACTCTCTTGCTTTAGAGTTTTGAGTTCCAAAATTGAAGGACTGTATTATATTGGTTTCCAAATTAGAAACTTCAGGGAAACAAAGTTCTTAAAGAAGAATTTATAAAACATTTCGACAATTTCCCTCTCTGCTTTCTGCTTTATATTTTTAAAGCCACATTTATTTTTCCAACTGATATTATCTTACACATTTAAAGCAATTTAAATGAGATACAACATATTTCTCTAGAGAACTGAGAGAGGTTAAAAAAAGTATTACCTCGCTGAAATAATAAGGTCAAACTTTGCATCAAATAATCCTCTGCAGAAAACATTGGCTGTATTCACAGAAAGGGAAAATCCAGATGACTTCTTGGGCAGCAGGATGTTATATCTCATAGTTGTCTTGAATAAACACAAGATACATCACTTATTAACCAAAAATTAATCTTATATCTGTTAGCTCTTTATTAAAATTGCAACTTAAATATAAAAGTCAGGTTTATCTCTGTGCTTCCTACACCAATAAGTTCACATTTATTTACTGAGCTTATATTAGATACTTTTACATAATAACTCCTTTAGTATTTCCACCAATCCCATGAAGAAGATACTATTTTTAGCATACATTTTCTGAGACCCAAATGATACATTACCTGAACACTCAAATAGTATTTACTTGCACATATGCATAGCTGTCATCTCTATACACACACACAGCCATTACCTGCACACACACACACACACACACACACACTCACACACACACAGAGGCATTACCTGCACATACACACAACCATTGCCATCCACCTGGACAGTGTAGATTTCCTTAGTTGTTGGCAAAGGAATTTGTTGCAGCAGCAAACGGTTCTCATCATTCACTTGGAAGGCCTTACTAAACACTTTGTCAGAGAAAATTTGTACCAAATTTTGTCTATTCTTAGAAAAAGTAAGTCTTTGGAATAAAGTCAGAGCTTGGAGAGCCACAACGGTATCCTAAAATATAATAAGGGATATTTTATTAGCATATCCTGGAGTTAGAAATCATAGTTAATATCACTGTTACCCATTTTTAAGTTAAAATACTACCACATATTTGTGCATTTCCCATTGTTTTCTGAACTATATCTTGAACATTGCATAATTTACTAAAAATAAATGGGATTTATGGTAACATTTATGTTTATCTCTTTAATACAAACAAAACATCATATAATAGAATTAAAATGTGAGAGGAATCAAGAAAATTTTTTAAATGCCAACTAGGTTAAGTTTTATTCTAACAGATATTAAAACATATAAGGCCCAAAGTTCAATGGAAAAGAACAAAATGCCTAAAATGACAAGAAAATATATGTAATTTTATTTTCCAATAAGAGCAGCCTTTCAAATCATCGTCAAGATTCATTATTATATAAATGACATCAAAACAACTGGTTGGCCATTTAAAAAACCAAGTTAGGTTTCTATCATAATAAGTATATCAAAATATATTTTGGATTCACTAATAATTGAAATATAATTAATTAATCTATGACATATAGTATTTATATATATGTACACACTTGTATTGGATGCTGTTTTTAGCATAGTATTAGAGTGAGAACCTGAAATGGCATTATTAAATTAAGTGGAAATAAAAACAAAAATTATATATATATATATATGCATATATATAAATTGAAAAGAAGAGGAAAACTTGGCAAAGGTGTTACATGCACTAACATGGCTGAAATCTTTACTTTATTCATAAGACTTATAAATAAGCAAGAAAAAGGTTAACATCCTCATTAGGAGATGTGCAAATGACATGTGACCAGGCAATTCATCACACATGAAATAAAAGAGGACTGTAAGGCCAGGCACAGTGGCCTACATCTGTAATTCCAGCTACTAGTAAGCTGGAGATTAGGAAAATTGTGATTCAAGGCCAGAATGGGCAAAATGTTAGCAAGACTCCATCTCAACAACTAAAACAGGAAGTGGTGACATAGCCTGTGATCCCACGTATGTGGTAGGCATTGGTAGAAGGATGGTGGTCTGAGGATTGTAATCTGAGGTTCTTCCTGGCAAAAGCACAAAACCCTACCTGAAAAATAAGCATAAAAGGGCTGGAGTGTGGTTCAAGTGGTAGGATAGTTAGCTAGCTAGTGCAAAGCCCTGAGTTCACACCCCAGCACCACCAAAAACAAAACAAAACAAAACAAAGTAAAGAAGACTGTATTAAAGGAAAGCAAGTAAGTCTTTATATTTCCATTTTAAAAACTATAAAGAAATAATCTTTTGAGTAAATACTTAGAGATTGCTGCTAGATTAAATTAGTACATCTTTAAAAATTCCAGAAGACTGCAATTTAAAATAACAAGCTTAACAGTGACAAATTCATTTAATTTAATTGGTAAATGTAATACATGCATATGGAGAACTACAATGTCAATACAAAGTAGGTGCTCGATTTTCTTATACATCAAGATTTTAATTACCTTTGTGGAGGAGAATCCCCCCCAGGAATTTTGCTGCTTTGCCACCCAGTGTACAATTTGAGAAGCATAGGATAGCTCCTCCAAAGCTAGCCGTGGCTTAGAAAGTAATGCCAATAGGACATAACTGGTTGTTTCTATGTTTGCAGAGGAAGCCCGAGGGTAGAAGAAAGAGGATGACTCCTCCAGAGATACTCGCTCTTCCAGTCCCCAGTACAGTGAGTCACCTGAGAAAAAAGCAAAAGGAATTCCATAGTGTCTGTGTCAAACTTTCCATGTGTGTGGGTGTGTGGGTGAGATTTGAGGGAGGCAAACTTATCAACTGGAAATAAAGACACATGAAAGGATGATCATTACAGTACTGCAAGCCATTTTACTTGTTTAATGTGACTCCAAAACGAGGTTAAGGACACTCACCTGCTTTCTTTGCTTTTTTGCTCAGCTCATTGAAAAAGTATTCCCTTTTGTCTTTATCATTCACTAAACTGAAGGTGTAGGCCAACAGTGCCTGGTCATATGTAGTCATAGCCCTCTGCCTATAAACAGCCTCTATGCACTGGAGACCCTTTTGAATTGCCACAAACTGCAGAGGAAAGAAAAGAAAAAAAATAATTTGTGCTCCTGTAACATGTGTGTGAACACATATGCAGGTGTGCTCACCACCGAAAAACACTCAGGAATGAATGTTGTCTGTGTTGAAATGTTCCAGGGGCAAATGGCACATATTCATTTTAATTTGTGCATGGTTCACCTTCAGGGGGTGATCTAACTATTAAGAAGTATTATTTCACTGTGTGGTGGCCCACACCTGTTTGTAAGCCTAGCTACTTGAAACATAGAAATTGGTAGGACCACTGTTTGAGGCCATCCCAGGGAAAAAGTTTGCAAACCCCATCTCAACCAATAAAAGGTGGGAGTGGTGGGGCACACCTGTCATCCCAGCTATCCAGGAAGTGTAAAAAGGAGGATCTCAGTCCATGCTGGCTTGGGCATAAATGCAAGACTTTATTTGAAAAATACCTCCAGCAAGAAGGGTTGGGTTTATGGCTTGGCTCAATTGTTAAAGCACTTGCCAGGTGAGCTCAAGACCCCCAGATCAATCTCAGGACTGCCAAAAGAAAATAAGCATTATTTTATGGTATGTACGAAAATATAGTTCTAGTTTCTATACTACATTGTTGGTGTAAAATATTTTGAGTTCATAAACACAATCTAGTGGCATCACAAAGGGCTATGTACCGAGACGGGGTGATCAGCTTCAAGCAGGGCACTGATGACATATGCGGTGAGAGCGACCTCATTATCTTCTCCCTGAGTAAAACAGAGGGGCAAAATATCAGTTTCATGGAATTCATGGGAATGATGACTTTCTTTTATAAATATGGTATATTGTAAATACGAGGAATAGTTGCTTTCTTTCCATTGGGTGAAGCTTTTTCATATCTTCAAAAGGCACTATTTATAAAATTAGAAAATACTAAATGAAAATGCAAGTAATTTTAGAACTAGGAATACAGATTATAAAAATAACTCATGAGCACAAGAGGGTATTTAGACTCAAAGGAGACAAGACTGTTCTGCTAAGTTCTCATACAACCCTCAAACTGATTGTCACCTTTCTGAAAATAATACATAAAGTGTCATGGAAAATGTGTGCTATAAAATTATAATGACTAAGAGTATAGCATAACACAGGGAGGTAGGTCAACCGATAGAACAAGTAGAGAAGCAAGAAATCCTAAGTGTAGAAAACAATATAGCAACATTGGCCCCAAAATAGGTAGCATAGTCAACAGTAATTAACAGAAAGTATGATAAGTGGTGCATTGTTTAGACCATATAAATACACGGTGCATGGATTACACAATATACTGATATTGCATGAAGCCAACAATATTCATGTAAATAAAATCAAAATCAATCCAAAGACTAAAGGACAATTACAGAGGGAAAATATTCAATGAAAGTAATCATGCAAAAGTATTTCCCTTCTGAATCAATTGACTTGTAAACAGAAACAGGCATAAAATACCTTTTTTTTGGTGCTATGTTTTTAGTTTTTTTTTTTTTTTGGTGGGATGTGGTTTGAACTCAGGGCCTCACACTTGTTAGGTAGGCATTTGAACCATCTGAGCCACTCCACCAGCCCAAGGGCTTGCTGCTATGTTTTTGGATATTTTGTTTTCATTCTTATATTGCTCACCGTTAGAGATAGTGTTGTAAGTCAGATAGATAAACTCTGTACAGAAGAAATTAAATTGGCACTATTTTACTGTTTTACATCTGGTAACTATCATAGAACCCTAAAATTTCTACCTCTAGATATCTATGCTATGTCAGTAATGACCACAGAGCACTTATTCACATGCATATGAGAACGCTTAAATAATCTTAGCCTGATTTTAGTCAACAATACTGAAAGCTGAACAAAGGAGTAACAAAGAACATAATTTGTTTTTAAAAGAGTGACACAATTTAAACAATGTATGATTTATCCATGTGATGGAGCAAATAAAGGTTTTAATTTTATGCTTTTAAATTATTTTAACGAAATGGCAAAATCACTGTATGTGATGTTAGATTTCAAAGAAGGAAGACTAAAAACTCAGTGTTGGTTAATATCAATTATTTGATTTTTGGCTTTCTGAGCCTGGCTAACTTTGCTTAAGATGATGTTCTCCAGTCCCGTCCCATCCATTTACATGAAATAAGAAGAAAGATTTTATTGGTTTTCAAGATAATTAAGTTTGTATAGTAAGTAGAAATTCCAGTCTGGTGATTTCTACCAATTTCTTCAGTGGTACTCAGGAATTCACTAAACGATCCTGATGATAAAATAGAAAAATATCAAGTAGAATTTCATCAGTACCTTTAAAACATTGTTGAAGACTTTACCAAAATTTAGGAAGCAGCCATCTGATTTCTGAGTACTAAGGAGCCAAATAAGGGTTTTGGATTGCACTTCATCATCTATAGAAATGTAACGTTTGGCTTGTGCAAATGACTTGTACACAAGTGCAGTGAGCCTGGAAAAAAATTACATAGATGCACGTTTATAACAAACATGGAGAGGCAGGTAAACTCTCACTAAAATGGGTGATTTGATACAAGTAGATTTTTTAATTTCACATCTTGAAAATTTCTTTCCAATTCTAGCCTAATGTATCTTACCAACTCATTTCTCCTTTTCAAATATCCACTCGATATGCACCTCCTTTTCCTTCACACCATTCCTCATTTGTGTCCCAGACAAAGGGTGACCAACCCCATGAGGAATTCTCAGATTCTTTTACCTGTACCTCAAGCAATAGTAGAATCACTGCATTTCCCCCACACTGTTTTCATCAAAGGACTTAATGAGAAATTACAAACAAATAATCACAAAAACATATCAGTGGCCAGGCATATGTGAGTTGAGTTCCCAGATGATAACCTGAAGTTCAGAAGGTTTAAATGCCTCATCCACACTTGATGAGCTAGGTGTATGCTTACATCACCTTGACAGAATCATCACATGTGTAGTGTGCCTTGCATATTGTTCACATGTCATCATACAGTTTCTAGGACAGTTGCCATGCTGTAAGCTCCCCAGCCCCATGTTCATATTTCTCTCTCAGTTTTATCACATTATGTTCTGATGTACTTTCTGACTTGTCTTTCCCCACTTTAAAATTCCTGAGATCAGCCAGGTGCTGGTGGCTCACATCTATAATCCTAGCTACTTGAGAGACTGAGATTCTGAGAATTAAGGTTCCAGGATAACCCAGGAAAAATATTCATGTGTCCTCGTCCATTTTTGGAATGAGTATAACACTGGCTTCATAGAATGAGTTTGGCAGTGTTCATTCCCTTTCTACTTCATGGAAAAGTTTAAGGAGAGTTGGTATTAGTTCTTCTTTGAAAGTCTGGTAGAATTCAGCTGAAAATCCATCATGTCCTGAACTTTTCTTTTTTGAGAGACTCTTTATTGCTGCTTCAATTTCATTATGAATTATAGATCTGTTAAAGTAGTTAATATCCTCTTGGTTGAGTTTTGGATGGTCATAAGTATCTAGAAATTTGTCCATTTCTTCAAGATTTTCCAGTTTATTGGAATCTAAATTCTCAAAGTAGTCTCTGATGATTCCCCGGATTTCCTTGGTGTTTGTTGTTATTTCCCTTTCTTCATTTCTGATTTTACTGATTTGGGTCTTTTCCCTCTTTATTTTAGTCAGATTTGGCAGGGGTTTATCAATCTTGTTTATTTTTTCAAAGATCCAGCTTTTTGTTTTGTTGATTCTTTGTATGATTTTTTAGTCTCTATTTCATTAATTTCAGCCCTTAACTTTATTATGTTTTCCCTTCTGCTTGATTTGGGTTTTGCTTGTTCTTGTTTTTCTAGGAGTCTGAGATGTAGCATTAGGTTGTTTATTGAGATCTTTCTGTCCTTTTAATATATGCACCATGGACAGAAACTTTCCTCTTAGGACTGCCTTGCTGTGTCCCATAGGTTCTGGTAGGTTGTGTTTTCATTTTGATTTCCTCTCTTATTTCTACTATGACCCACTGATCATTGAGCAATATGTTATTCATTTAATTAACCTATGATATAAATAATAAAGAAATTCAAACCATGTGTTTCCTTCTTCATTTCTAGGTCCAAATGAGCTATATGATCCATCTGAGTGTTTATAAGACATTTGCTTCTGATACCCTAGAACCAGAAGATAGATAATATTTTTCAGTTGCAAAGTAATTATCTAGAAGGAAAAGGTTATTAATTGAATGTTTATGTTTACTATAAGTGGGTAAATCAAGTGCTTAACAAGCAAAACAAATGGGTTCAGAGGTTTAACAAAATAAGACTTTTAAATGCTTTACCTGTGGTCAGGTAACTAATAGCCTTGGATTTTATATCTTCTGTTAGTTGTTGAGTCTGATTCAGATAGTCCAAGACATAAATATTGGGAGTGAATAGGGCCATATTCTGCTCTCCACAACCAAAAGGCATTTGGAGAAAATTCTGTAAGTTTTGCATGGTAGAACCAAGAATGTCTCCTGCAAAGGCAATCAAGTCAATATGAAGTAGTTCATAAAAACTGACGAGATAAATAATAGTAGTTTGTGTTCAAGGTCTCTCCGTTATTGACTTTTGGGATAACTATTTCTGATATTTTCAGACTTTTCCTTTCTCATCTGTTTGTTGGAGCCATACCATATAATTCAAACAGTCACCATTGGGACTATTTCCAGAGCTTAGGTGGAGACACGTTACCCAAATCAACAGAACCAAGAGCAAAAGGGCCAAAACATTTGTGGGATCAAAAGTCCTGAAAGTTCCCAAAATGAAGTAGAAAACGCCAGGCCAAACATTAATCAAAACAGATAGAAGTTGGTCCCCAAATGATAGGGCCCAATATAGCAGTATAATATAACAGCATAATTACATAACAATAATATAAATAGGTACTGTTGCAGTCTATGGGAAAACTGAGGCAGAAGGAAGTTAAAACATTTTCCAATATCATCCAAAAAAGACACGACAGAGACAGGAATGGAGCCCAGATAACAGAGCTTTAGAATTTCTGAACTCTTCCACTTCCCTGCTTTGTGTCTATCCATTCCTAGAACTTACATAACATTGCTTACTATGCATCTGGAGCCTGCAAACTTACATAAAACCATGACCTTAAGTCATGGTATTGCAGACTTACCAAGGACAGACCAATAAAGTCTAAGGGAATCTTTCACAAGATTGTCTGGCGAAGTGAGCACTATTGTTTGAGATGCCTTTGATCCTAGGAAACAGAAAAGTGAATTAATTAATTCAGGCCTCCCATTTATTTAAAAAACCATGGTTTTGACTTTGGCTAAAATTTATCTTTTCTATTAGACACTTAGTGTCGCTTTATTGATTATTTCCAACTGTAAAATAATCAGAAAAAATCAAAAGGATTTATATAATTAATCAGATTTACTTAAAACATCAAAATCAATTATAATTTAACATGATAAAAATGTTAACTTGGGAAAGCACATTAAGATTTATTGTGCATGAAAGACACATTATTTAGTTGAATTCTCATGAAGTAACCTATGGGGTATATAGACTAGATTTTTTTTAGCCCTTTGTATAAAAGAAAATGCTTAGGCACCCTCCCCCAAGAAATTAAGAGATTTAGAATGCCACATAATTGAAAATGATAAAATACAGAATGTGAACCCAGGATGTTTTACTTTGGGGTCAAGGTCATTTCCACATTGGTGTTATAGCACTCCACTACTTCAGTTTGCTCTTTGAAGTGCTAAATATTGGAAAATGACTTCTCTAATTTTAGGAGTCTCTGGTGTTTCTAACATTCAAACAAATACAGAAACAAATAGAAGTCATGGGAAAATAAATTGGATAACAGAAAAAATTCTGTTATGCTCAGATATTATTTGTAGGGCAATCTAGTTGTTGTATTTTGGAGGACAGAAAGATTTTCAGGCAATAAATATGGATCAGATCTCTAGGTAGGTAACAGATGGCTGAAGATGTGGTAATTAAAAAAACTGACAATTTTACTACGATTAAGAGAAGATTCTAGAGATCACATATATTAAGAGAAGACAATTCTACTCTGGTGGTAGTTTTTTGAGAGAAGATTTATATTTTAGTGAAAAAATCAAAATCAAATTAAGGAGTAGAGATAAGAGTCAAATAAAAACCAAGGATGTTCATATTTCTGAACTGTGGAGTAAGGAATAAGGAAGACCTAAAGTTTTAAATTTATGTTGGCTTGTAGGATGTTCAAATTTTATTATTTGGAAGTAATTTAAGCTGCCCTGGCAGCTATGTTCCTGAGAAGAAAAATGATAAAATCATTAATTCCCAAAGACAAGGTTTGATTCAATGTTGCCATGCTAGTGAGACTGTGTGAAGGTGTCAACTTACCATTAGTGCAAATGAGTGAGCCCTGTGTCATCTCCTTTCGAATACCTTCGGGCTAATTGTTGGAAGAAGGAAAGAGGACAGTCACAATCAGCTTCATATATGAAAAACTTCAGAAAATTTGTGAATGATGTTTGAAAAGAACAAATCTTCCTCAAAAATTATTCCAGATAATGAATCTATGAATTCTGAAATCCAATATAAAGCTGAAATGCAAAGTTTGATTTTGTACATGGTAAAATAAGCTGAGTGTTACCAATTTTGAAAGGAAGTACTTTCTCAAAAATCCTTCAAGCTCCACAATTCTGTCACTCTATTTCAAGAAATATATCCATGTATACATGAATATATAAATGACCATATGTATGTATATACATATATACATAGCACTGGCATTTGAACTCAGGGTCTTGCACTTGCTAAGCAGGTGAAACATCACTTGAGTCATGTCCCTTCCTTTTTTGTTTTTGTTTTTTTTCCAATAGGATCTCACATTTTTGTCCAAGCTGGCCTGGACCTGTAGTCCTACTATTTATGCCTCCTATGCAGTGGGTATGAAAGATGCTTGCCACCATAGTCAGTTTACTGGTTGAGATGGATCTTGCTAACTTTTTTCCTAGACTGGCTTCAAACCATGATCCTCCTGATCTGCCTCCCAAATAGTTAGGATCACAGGTGGGAGCCACCATGCCCCACTTTAAGAATATTTGATTGTAAATATTCTCTCTACCAAGAGAAGTAAATGTCTCTCCTTGGGCTTCTTATGCAGATATTTGATCAAGTCTTGTTCTATGAACTTTGAAAGGAATACTTAACATTTCTTTATGAAGATCAGCATTTTAAAATACTGACAGATTTTTTCTTCAATGCTCATAAGTTATTTTTATTAACACATATGAATCATACATATCAGAGGGGACCAGGGTGTTATTTCAATACATGCATATAGTGCACACTGATAAAATTCAATCTACCTTTTCCACCGTCCTCCCACGACCTTCCTAATGTCTATTACTATTCTGCTTTCTAGGTCAACATTTTTTTTAGATTCTACATATGAAAGAGAACGTGTTGCATTTGTCTGTCTATGTCTGGTTTTTTTCACTTAATGTCCTCTGATTCCATCCATTTTGCTACAAGAGAAAGCATTTCATTCTGCTTTATGGAGTAATAATACTCCACTGAGTGTATATACTGTGTTTTCTTTCATCTGGTGATGGGCACCTAGCCTGATCTCGTAACTTAGTTATGTGAATAGTGCCACAATGAACATGAAGTCTGTAAGGTATACTTTGAGGTCATACCTCTACCAGCAACGGCTTGATCACTGTATCCCTCCAGCCAATATCCTGAGTCATGGATGACCCATGATCATAGCCATAATTCTGCCGGGTTGTGGATGTGACTGTGAGGTTGATTGTACCTAAAATGGCAAGAAATGTAAATGGTAGAGTTATTGGAATGGAGATTCAAGGTTGTGGTGGTGGTCTTTTTTAGACTAAGTTGAAGTAAATTGTAAAAATAATTGCAGTTTTACAGAGGAGAGAATCAAGTATGTCATGGAGAATATGAATTCTTAAAATCACAGCTTCATTCCAGTTCCTGATCTCTATCTCCAGGCATATTGGTCTTGGGTTATAAAAGAAGGACAAGTTTCTTTTTTGTTGTTGTTTTTCCTTTTTCTTAAATCTTTTTTCTTTTTCTTTTTTTATTCATTTTATTAGCATATAATAGTTGTATAGGGGGATACATTGTGATATTGACATACGTGCTTACAATGTATCTTACTTAGATTTACCCCCTCCATTGTTTTCCCTCATTTCTCCATCTTAGAACAATTTCAACAGGTTTCATCCATCAATAAGTGATGGTACTGAGAATGAAATAATTGTCTATTGTAGAGAAATAATAAAAGCTCAGGAGAATTTACAAAATATATAAAAATATACAAAAAAGGCATGTTTTACCCAGAATATGTGGTGTAACCAGCCAAGTAAAGAACTTTTTTTCATTGCTATTTATATGAGCTAGGGTGTTGGGACACTTGGCCTCTCACAGCGGCTACTGTAATAGCTCTCGGGCCTAGGTTGTCAAATCCTCAGCCTATGGATATCAGCTGGCGCGACCACTCTTGGATCTAGGGTGTGGGAACAGTCGGGCTTCACATAACAGCTAGTATTGTAGGTCTCAGGCCTCTGCTGTCTGGACTCTTCCGCCCTTGGCAGCGACTAGTTTATAACTCCAGGCCCTGGGTTGTCGGGACTCTCCATCCCTGACAGCCACTAGTCTTGCAGGACTCAGGACTAGGGTGATGGGCTTCTTTGCACTTCACAATGGCCAGTGGCATATCTGTCGGGCCAAGGGTGTTGGAAACCTCAGCCTTTGGCAGCATCTTGTCTAACAGCCCTCGAGTCAATGACAAGACAGGATCTTCAGCCCTCAGACCGCAGCCAGGGTAAGATCTCTGAGCCCTGGGGCGTTGGGAGCCTTTGTCATTAGAGAGCAGCAAGTGTGATGAGGCTTTCAGGCCCCTCAGCGTTAGATAGCAGCCAGATTTGCTGCTCTTGGGCACAGAGCATAAGGACCCTTGGAACCTGACGGTGAGATGTGTGCCGGCTCTTTGACACAGGGAGTCGTCACTGGGGCCTTCACACAGCAGCTAGTTTTAGCTCTCAGGCCTAAGGTCTCAGTACACTTGGCCTTTCACAGGGACTGTTTGTTACGGCCCTTGGGCCTAGGCTGTCTGAACCCTCTGCACGTCATAGTTGCTAGTGTTACAGGTGTAGGGCCTGAGTCCAAACCTCAGACCACGACAGCAGGTGCTGTTACAGGTCTCAGGGACACAGCGTCTGCACCCTCAGCATGGACTGTGACTGACCTTACAGCTCTAGGGTACAGGGTGTCAGAAACCTCATTCTTTCAGCAGCAGTAGTTTTCCACTCATGGGCCTTGAGTGTCAGCCTGTCAGCCCTTAGACACCAGGTAGAGAGTGGTCTTCTCTGGGTCCTAGGGTGTCGGGACCCTCAGCCTTTCACAGTACCTACTGCTAGAGCTCTCAGGCGATGGGGTTGGACCCTCGGCCATGGATGGGGGCAGGGTTCATGTGTCAGGCTGGGTTAACAAACTCTCAGTCCTAGACAGTTGCTTGCTTCAGCTCTCTGGCCTAGGGTGTCAGGACGCTCAGCTCTTACGGTGTCACGTGTCACAGCTCTCAGTGAGGTGTCAGGACTCTCATCCCTAAGACACCCGTTGGTAACACAGCTCTATGACCCGGGATGCCCAGACCTTAACCCCTAAGTGTCTGCTCTCCCGCCTAAGGTTGGATTTGACAGTGGACAGTGTTACTCCACGCAGGCTGGGAGGAGGGGCAGTGGGCCCTGTACAGAAGCTACTCTTACAGCCTTCGGCCTGGGTCCTCTGGACCCTCGACACTCACACTGACTAGTGTCACAGCTTTCAGACTTACAGTGTCACTACCCTCAAGCTGACACAGTAGGCAGTGTTACTGATCTCGCCCCTGCATCTGGAACTCAGCCACTTCTCAGTGCCTAGCATTGGTGCTCTTCAGCCTAGGGTTCAGGACCTCTGTCTTTCACAGTGACTGGTGTCAAAGTTCTCTGGCCCATTGTTTTGCTACCTTGGCCCCTGACCACAGCTAGTGTTACAGCTCTCAGGCCTAGGGTGCCATAACCCTCAGTCTTTACACGTGGGCTGCTGCTACAGTCTTGTGCCTCGGCTGTCAGCGCCCTCGGCCCTTGACAGTGACCAGTGTTACAGCTGTTGGGTCTGTGGTGCCAGGGACCTCAGCTTTTGGGCATCAGCTAGTGTCGTAGCTCTTGGGCCTAGGATCATGGTTCCATTGGCGCTTACACATCACTCAGGGTTACAGCTCTTGGGCCAAATATGGCGCTACCCCAGCCCTACAGTGACCAGTGTTACAGCTCTTGAACCTCGGCTTGGGCCCAGGTCATCAGAACCATCAGCCCTTGAGGACCGCTTGTGTTACAGCTCTGACGCCTAGGGTGTCAGGCCCCTCACACTCACCTGCTTGTTTTACAACTCGCTGGCTTAGGAAGTTGAGATCCTCAGCCCCTGACAGGGACGAGTGTGACAGCTCAGTCCTAGGCTGTCAGGACCCTCAGCTCTTAGGCAGCAGCTAGTGCATAGTGAATCCTCCCAGACCCCTGCTAGCTGTTCCTGCACTTCCAGCTGCTGCTCCTTCCCCACCTGCTCCCATGTTCTCTGAAGCTCCCTTTTCCCAGCATGCCTTTCTGCACTCCTTCCTTATCCAGCTCTGAGCCGTTTCCTCTCCACAACCATCTTCTCAACAGCTTATTTCGTGACTTATTTCCTCACAAACGGCTCCATTCTACACCCTCCTTTATTTCCAGCTCTTTCTATTTCATCTCCCCTCTTGGCTTTTATAAGACCGGACCAGAGGTGGTGATAAAAGTGCCCCAGGATGACTCAAAGAGCAAGTGCACCTTTCGCTGTGTCATCCCTCTCCCGGGACCATTTCCAGGGAGGCCTCTCTGGGGTCCACCGTTCCTTTATATCTGAGTTGGGATTCTTTTCCAGGCACCCATGGAAGTTTCTGCATTCTTTCTACTCTTCCTGATGTCCCCCTCAACAGCTTCCCCTCGTGTCTGGCATCCAATTCCAGCTTAGGATCTGCGGCGTCTTCTATTTTTCACACATGAAAAATCATCCAGCATTCAGAGCTCAGTATTTGGTCAGACAGACAAACGGTATTAAACGCTGTTGTCAGACAAGCAATCCAGACAGCTCATGCATCTGGACCGTGAGAACGTTCAGTCTTTATTGTCTTCCCAAGGGAAGCATGGCGCTGTCCTCTTCAGAAACATGAGAAACACCTGCTCTTATAGCACGCATGTCCTCTGGGATGTCACACAAATGCATCACAGCAAGAGAAAGAATTAATCCTCAGTGTGCACAATTCTGCAACGAAGACTCAACATCAACAGAACTCATGATTACAAGAAAACAGTTATCACAGGGCCATAAGGACGCTAGACATGTAAGTAGAGTGGAAGAGACCACTCAGACGTCATCATGTTTGTCAATATGCAGGCAACACCATGGCAACTCCATAGAACCACCATGTCTCCAGTTTTCTCTGAACTGTTTTATAAAACAGAGACAGTAAAACCAGCAAGAATTATGTGGTCAAGGTTCGAAATAATCCAGTAACATTTCTGACCCGTATTAAGCTTATCTACTCCAGACCTGTGGCTCTAATTTCACATTTTTCTGACTTGCTATTCACAAAACAGTTTGGGGCCTGTGTCTGCTGGCAGGCCACCCCCTGTGACCAGGTGCAGTGTCCATCTCACTGCCCTGTGTGTGGCAGCTTGTGCCACAGGGCACCAGAACACATAGGGACGGTGGTCAGTGCAGCCGTGGCTCAAACAGCCTGAGCAAAAGTGCAGTCTTCACTCCACCAGAGCTTCTTGTCGTCCTGATCACGGCTGGGGTGTCAGTGACGAGGACTGTGCTGATGATCTTGTCACGATCTGGAGGGTGAAAAGCTGGCTTTTCTCTAAGATCCTGGAATACAAGGTTAAGCTCATCTGTGGGCACAACGAGCTCCTTCCCAGGAGGCAAGATGACCCCACAGGCCATGTCAAGTCAGGGAAAAGGCTCTGGAGGCCACCCCCTCATTGCCGAGGAGGTGAACCTGTGCCTTCACCTTGTGGTGGGTCTGGACGGACCCGGCTTGACCATGACCAGGCCACACCTCAGGTCCTCCCATGATAAGCCTTGGACCAGGTTGTCCCTGCCCCGTCCTCTCCAGGTCTTGTGGAATTTCTCCATGCCTTTCAGCACAGTGTAAATGCCCTTATTTGTCCTGGGAACCACACTCATCTCCTTCTTCCAATGTCAACCCCCAACGTCCCTGTCACCACCATCCTGGCCAGGATGAGTAAACAGACTCCACAGGCAGCAGGAAAGGCTTCTCCACGTCCTGGGTGGGCACTGGGATGGAAGGGTCCACAGCGTCTGGCAGCTTCTGCCCTGACTTCACACTTAGTTCAGGGTCACGTTGCTCAAGGGCACAGAGAGCAGAGCCCGTGATGACCGGGGTCTCCTCACTGGGCAGCTCCATGATCTCCAGTTCCAACTCGACCACTGCAGAGTCCTGGCGGTCATCAGCCTAGTTCACGTACGCCACCGTGTGCCGCAGCTCAGTCTGTGTGGACAGTACAGTGCTCTCAAGCCTGGGGAGAAGGAGGGCCAGAGGAGGTAGGTCAGGGGACAGAAAACCTCAAAGAGAATCCTGGAAGGAAGAAATTTGTTTGGGCTGGTGGAGTGGTTCAGTAGTACAACGCCTGTCTAGGAAGCGAGAAGCCCTGAGTTCAAACCCCAAAACCACCTAAAATACAACACAGTGAGTCTCTCTCCGGGAAAGAGCATCTGGGATTTCATAAGAAAAGAAATCTGTCGGAAGGCTAAGAGGGATGAAGAGGAGTCAGTGGCATGGAGTGGTCAGGCAAGGGGGTTTCAGGATTTCCTAAGCAGACATCAAATCGCCCTGGGCACACTGCAAGGACACAGAGGTACCTTTACTCAGCCCAAGGACATTAGGATGCTTGCTCTGCAGACTGCTAGGGCAGGTGGGTGCAGTCTCCCCCCATATCCTCAGCTCTGGTACATAACACTGGATCTGGAAAGAAAAAGGCTCCCTGAACCAGTGCTGCTCCCCATGGAGACCTCTCCCCATGTCCAGCTTCCGCTTTTTTCTACTCCCCACACCCCTCCTTTCCACACCCCTTCCCTTCTCTCTCTAATCCAGCCCCATGTACCCAAGATCCCCACCTGCTGCCGTTCCTCTGGGGAAACTGAGTCTTTCAGCCCATGGACCTGGATCAACTCAACTACCAATTTGTGGAACAGGGGCCCAACCCATACCTGTTAGCATACACGAAGGAAATCGTGTCTGGTTTGCACCTGGTTGTCCTCCTCCATGACATTGGCCGGGGAGCTGGGGAGATAAATCAGGGCAGTTGTCAGAGGAACAGCCAGGGAGCAGCTGCACCCGGGGACAGGGATGGTGCAGCAGAAAAGCCCCGGGGATCTTCATAGAGAAGGCTGGGTGGTAGAGAGGCCCGGGGGTATCAGAACATGTGAGCAGAGAGGGTCACAGAGTGCAGGCCCTGGACTCAGCGCCCAGTCCATCCATGAGAACTGTGTGGACTGGGGTCATCCAGCAGAGCCTGTCGGCAGAACGCCATGCCAGGATAGGGTGCCATGTCAGGAACAGACTTGGAGCAGCAACCTTTCCAAGCTCAGCTGAGTGCTGCCTAGGACAGGCTGGGGTCCTCACCCTGGGCTGACAGTCGGAAGGCCACCTGGAGGTGAGGGGTGGGAACT